TGGTTTATATGGCCCTTTCTGCCTCTTGGGCTCATATTTAACTTGTGTCTCTGGTGTTTTTCATTCCCCTTTGCTCCAGGTGGGTTGGGACCAATTGATGCATCTTAGATGCCACTTGCAAGTTTTTAAGACCCCAGATACCACTCACCAAAGTGGGATGCAGAACATTCTCTTAATAAACTTTGTTATGCCAGTTGACCTACATGTCCTCTGAAACCGTGGTCCCCAGACCCCAGTTAATGCTTTTCTTGAAACCATTTAGCTATCAAAGCATGTGATAGCAATTATCTTTTCATTTCCTTTTGCAGAGGTGGTCTGGACAACAATGACATGTTCAATATCCTTTTTCCTCCTCCTGCAGGTGGAAGCAGGACACCAGTGGTACCTCCAGGTGATCTACATCATTGCCCCTGACACCATCTCAGGGCCCCGGGTCCAGCGCTCTCTCACAGCCTTTCTGAGGCGCAACCGAAGGGACTTGGTGGACCCCAGTGGCCAACTGACCCTTGATGATTCTCTCATCTATGACAATGAAGGGGACCAAGTCAAGAATGGCACCAATATGAAGTCCCTGAATCTAGAGATACAAGAGCCAATTGTTGCTGCTTCTCTGTCCCAAACTGGGGCATCCATTGGCAGTGCTCTTGCTGCTATCATGCTTCTACTTCTTGTGTTTTTGGTGGGTTGTTTCATCACCAAGAAATGCCAGAAACAGCAGAAGAAACCACCCACAGAGGACATCTTGGAAGAATACCCTCTAAACACCAAGGTAGATATGCCCAAGAGGAACCTGGACAGAGTAGAGAAGAACGTGAACAGACAATACTGCACCGTGCGGAATGTCAACATACTGAGTAAAACTGAGGGGGCATACACGTTCAAAGGTGCTAAAGTAAAAAAATTGAATTTGGAAGTCAGTGTCCACAATAATTTACAAGATGGAACCGAAGTTTAATGGAGACCCATGTGTATTTTTTTCCTAAAATCATTTTTATAAAACAGGAAAATACTGGTATTTTTGTAATCTTGCAGATTAAAAAGGGAAAACTATAGCTTTGAGTGGCGGACGGCACACATCACATGCATTAACTCACAACTGAGCTACCTCATTAGACCAAGAACCGCCAAGGCCCCCCGAGGATTCCTGTAGGGTTATTTCTGTGGATCCCTTTAACATTCTTAGCAGCTACAAATTGCTCTTTCTGGAAGGCTGATCTTATAAAATGAGTATTTTAGATATTAGATTGGGAGTTTGACAATTAGGTTAGCCCATGGAGTTCAGAGAACTGGGGAACATAAAGTGGCAGATCTCAGAGTTTGAGAGTGCGTGGGGTACAGGGCCTTTTGTCTCCCACCCCACCCCCAGCTTTCTCCTTCTTGGTTTTTCCTGGGCCTGTGGACAGCAGTGTTTGAATTGCTTAAACCCAGGTTCTTAGTCTCATGTACTTTGGACATGTTATCAGGAGGGACCAGTCCCTGGAGAAGCACATCATGCTTGGTAAAGTAGAGAGTCAGTGAAAAAGAGGAAGACCCTCAACAAGATGGACTGACACAGTGGCTGCAACTATGGGCTCAAACATAGCAACAATTGTGAGGATGGCACAGAACTGGGCAGTGTTTTGTTCTGTTGAACATAGGGTCGCTCTGAGTTGGAACCAACTTGATGGCACCTAACAACAACAACAACATTTCCATTAACAATTCTGCTAATCAGCACAACTTATATATTTGTTCATTGGTTCCACTGCTTCATGGCCCCTAATTCTACTTTGCATTTTCAGAGTACTTTTCACCTGGGGGTTTCAAAGTACTTTAGACTAGAGCACTTCTCTACAAATCACAAATCACGTGAGAAACCTCCAGGCCTCTCCTGTCAGATGTCAGGCACAGAGGAACCCTTCTCACAGAGAAGGAGACCGCAACCGCAACTCGGGGAAATGAGGGACCTTGCAAGATTCTCAGGGCTGAGTAATGACACGCCTTAGGCCCAGGGAGATGTCCTTCTTGTTCCTGACTGGTTTACGTATTGCCACAGATGCTAAAGAAACCACTCTCCTGCTACTGCTTTGTCCCAGTCCAATAATAAACCCATGTGCTTTACTAGCTGCAGTTTTTTAAAATTTTACTCATGTTTCAGGAGACTAAGTGTCCCATTGGAATAAAGCAAATTAGGAGAAAGTCCAGGTCAGCCCCAAATCAGAGTGGACAGAAGCCTAGTGTTCTCCTTGCTGTTGTCACACAGCAGACAGCCACTATTTCTGTTGCAGAATTTCAGGGATTTCTCTTTGAGGGGGGGGTTCTTTTCTGGTAGCTCAGGCACTTGATTTTACCATATCAGCACATGACGAGGCCATAAACACATGGCTTTAAAATAATTTAATATTCAAATATCAGCTGGACTATTTTGGATGTAAGGTGCATACAACTTGAATTTTTGTTTCTTTTCTGTTTCTGTCTTAACTGGCAGAAATAGATGCATGCATGTCATGTTTCGAACTGGAGGCACAATTCCATTATTCAGGAGTAAAAGATTCATTTCCCAATGCATGGCATACCATAATCACTGAGCAAATAACAGAACACTCACATTCTGTGATGTTTGTATTTGAATGATAAGCTCTTTGACAACATTCCAGACTGAAAACTCTTTGGTACTAAAAGCTAAAAGGAATGACCTGTGAAAGGTTTTAGGCAACTCCAACAGACTCCAAGCTCCTTGAGAGTAGGACCTGTGTAGGCTGCACCTTTGATTCTTCAGCAGTGCCTTGCACATGGCAAGCACTCTAGAAATATTTGTTAAGTGAACCAATGAATAGTGTAATGGATGAGTGGTGGAAGAATCGATTTAGGAAAGGGAGGTGAGAGAATACGGTGGTAATATCACAAGGGCAAATAGAGGGGAAAAACTACAATTACCTCTTCTATATCGATTATGAAATAATTTTCTAATTGGAACAAAGAAACACCACTTTATATAGGTATGAATCTGGCAGTGACCTTAAGGAGGGATGAACCGACAAGTCCTAAAAATGTTTTAGCAGGAGGTGAGGCTACGAGTCGGCATCAAGAGCAGGAGATTTAGAAGGAAGTCTGACTTCATGTTCTGAGATGAGAGTCAAGTTTTCAGGAGTGGGTGGATTGAGGTGAGCCTTGAGCTGAAACTCCTGCCTGGTCAGGTGCTACGTGAGACCAGCTTGGGCAGTTCAGGGCCAAACATCTGTTATCGGCCTCACAGACATCCTGAATTGGTGTCTCAGGACTGGAGAGCTCATCAGCCAGACAGGAGTCTTCCCCAGAACAACTTAGGTTAATGCTGGTTCTTCCAGGACATAGAACTAATCCTTTGTGGAGCAACTTTCAGTTTGGTACATCATATATAATCTCTCCTAGGTTTGGAGCTCTGGTGGAACAGTGGTTAAGAGCTTGGCTGCTAACCAAAAGATTGGCAGTTCAGATCGACCAGCTGCTATTTGGAAACCCTATGGGGCAGTTCTACTCTGCTGTAGGGTCACTATGAGTCAGAATCGACTTGACGGCAATAGGTTTGGATTTTGGGGGGTTTTAGTGCCAGAATGCTTACACACTAAAGCAGCAGCTTTCCATTTGCTCAAATATTCTTCTTGCACACTCCTTCCATCACTAGCAACTAGGACACGTGTATAGAAAGAGTGCAGAGTGGTAGCCAAATGAGGCTAGTGTGGAAGGAAATGCAGACCGAGACCCCTGAGTACTCCTAGCAGCCTCCACATACGAGGTCTGAAATGACCAGGGCAGCACCCTGTGAGGACCTCATGATAGGAAACTGCTTGAAAGGAAAGCCCTTGGAATATTCCTGCCTCTCGTTCTTCCCGCCCTTCCCCCCACTACATACACTTTACTGAACGCCGGTACTTCTATAATGGATGCACACTTAGTAAATGGAAAATCCTAAGAAATGTGGAGTTGAGATTTACTTCTTTAATGCAGAATTGTTCCTTTCATTTACGTTTTGTACTTCACATTAGGGATCAGATAATTTGGTGACTGATCTGGGATTGTATTTCAGTCAAAACTCTGCTTTCAATTTCTCTAAGTTGTTCACTAATGCCTTGTGTGTGTTTTACTAACATTTTATACAATGCCTTCAGGTAAGAAGGAACAGAAAACCCCCGGGGGTTGCTACTTGCTATTATATGCTCACTTTGAAGGTTAAAAGAAAGAATGGTCTGTACCTCACAGTCTTTTTATTGTACCCCAGGCCTGCTGTCGGACTCCTGCAGATTCCTATTGTTGGATGGGGGAAATAGTGTTGGAATGTGTTTGCACAGTCTTATGATATTCAGTCTTAGCATCCTATAGGTATTTGTTATTTTTGGATACTACACACCTGCTCAGATTGAGTAAAACATCTGTGGTGCTGTCAACCTGATTTCTTGACTCTCAAATGATCTTTGTATTTCCAATACCAGTTTGTGTGTTATGAATTTCTGATTTCTCCAATAGCGTATACCACTATATAAATTTGTATTAATAAATGACAGTCTGGTTACTTTTTTGCTATATTCTTTT